GAGTAGGGCGCTGTAGCAGCATTTTCCTGAATCGCAGCCAAGTCTCATAAAGTAGCTTACCCTCCAAGTGTTTGAAATCTAGGATGTTATCCCTAAAAATCGCTATCTTTGAATGAGGGTGGTACACTTGGTTACAGTTGCTACCATATATGCTCATTTTCCACCATTATAACAGCAACAAAAAAACCAAAACTAAAAGTAAGTAGAATCAACTATAATTAACAAGAACACAATTCAACTTCATCAAAAGAATCTCAAACAACACCACTCCTCGGCAGCGGCGCCATTTAGATTTGAATAAAGTTATCAAAGACACTTCATCCAATTCTAAGTGTCAAAGATTGTTAATCAGTATATAACCCAATTAATTGAGTTGGGGTCGAATCCCACAGGGAGCGATACGTGTTTAAGATTCAATTTGGAAGTATGAACATGGTCTAATCAATCATACGAATAAAAGTTATCGAATAAAAACATCATTCAAATCAGGGGTGACACAAATGACAAATGGGGGGTTTTTGGTTTTGATTATCAACTACAAACAGCGGCAAACAATACGAAATAACAATAATGAGACGGGTTCTTGGGATGTGATCGATTATAGGCTAATGTAGACATATGGGTGATTGCAACTATTAGTAAATAGCTAGATATTAGTGAGTCAGCTAGGCAATGGTGGAAGTAACTTTCTCTTGAATAATTTACTCCGAATCAAGTTGATTTCTCTCGAACATCAACAAGCATGCAAATTAAGAACACCCACACCTTAGTCCATTCACTCTCTCGAGATGAATGTGTGGAAAAGGGTTTAGGATTCACTCTCTCGAGCTGAACCCAAGTCAACTCAATACCCACAGACCATCAATCGTTAACCTTAGTTCTAAAACCTCTCTGTCGAGCAAGCCAAGAACACAAAGGTGTAACTGCATTTGCAACTAAAATTTTTAAATTAAACCACAATAAATGATTGAACTCACTTTTAAATAACATTTAAACTAACAATTAGCAATACCCATAAGCTAAATCAGCCCATAATCACACCCCAAGAATTGGGATTTTAGCTAGACATTATAAAAAGTGAAAAACAGTTACCAAATTGATTATCCATCAACTGGGTAAGTGTAGATTTGTCCTTACAATGCTCCAATTCAAAGAATCTCAATGACCCACTTTAAATTTCTTAAAAGTAAAACACTTCAATTCTTCAAAGCTTAGGAAAAACTAAAGAAAACTATCTCCAGAGCTCAAACCTCAAGAATAGATTAAAAATATATGATCTAAGATAATAAACTAAATGTTCAAAAATATATTTATAGTCGCCGAATATGTGTTGTGAAGAGTCATTCAGCGAAGTAAGTTGGGCTCGCCGAACCACTCGGTGAGCCGCCCTTCGGTCACTTCCATCGCCCTTCAGCCTTGGTATTCAGCATCCTCAAGGTCTGTAACTTTGAGCGATCTAGCACTGCATCGCGGAACTAATTGGCGATCTACCGACTGCTTATCACACCCCAACCCTAGGTGAGGCGGACAAGTACCATATGAACACATGCTTTTCAAGTGACCTATGATGAGAAATTAAACTACTATGCATATAGATTTACTCATTAGAAACTTCATATACAACACATGTTGACTAGCTGAACCGATACATGTGACAAGTGAAACTATGAATAGAGATGATAGCTTTACAATGTCTACAAATCTTCTACTGGAATCCATGATTGTACCACTATGAAAATACGCATAGTAATGACTCGGAAAATCCCCGAATCAACCTAATGCTCACCAACAACCGATGAGTATCATGTGCTATTATTGGGGAGATCTACTAGCTGAGTACATGTATCTTTGCTTATACTTGTGGAATCATGTATGTTACATTCTTTTCTTTACTTTACTATTATTCTTTATAATCTTTGTAGGGCATGTGATACAAATGACTAGCTGATCAGTGGTAGAAGGGGATGACCCATGCTAGGCATTTTAACCCCTGGGATGTTGTCCTCATAATTACACAAATTGGGATCGGCCCATGCTAAGCTTTCGCCCCTGAGCTGCCACCCTTCTATACCAATTAGGATCGGCCCATGCTAGGCTTTTGCCCCTGAGCTGCCACCCTTCAATACCAATTGGGATCGACCCATGCTAGGTTTTTGCCCCTGGGTTGCCACCCATAATTATACAAATTACGTCATTTAGATTTTTTAATCTTTGAGATTGTTGTTTTGATGTTCATAACTCTTTTGAGATTGTTCTTTTGATGATCATAACTCTTTTGAGATTGTTCTTTTGGTGGTCGTAATCATTGTTAAGATTTGGAAATATGAACCATAAGTAAAAGACATGAGAATATGGACTTACGATAATAACAATGACATGGGAAGAAAATGTGACATGAATTTGTAATACTTAGGAGCTTATATGACATGACTCAGTGAGCATTTTGACATCTCAAATTGAAGCACATATCAAGTGACGACATTTAACATTCAACAAAGAGATTTGAACTCTATATGATAGCCAAAATACTCACAAACTAATATCAAATACAAGGTATACATGAATGTGGAACCAAGGGAGAACGTGGGCAGATTCCACTTAAGGACGGATACATATTCCAACTAAGTACATATAAAATGTACAATAGATCAAGTAGGGATCTTGTGAGGTAACATTATAGTCTAACACAATGGGAGTAATAACCAATAAGGGAACATATGAACATGTGACAAGATGACATATATATAGACAATTGAAGCAAGTTGGCATGATATGGGCAGATTGTATATCCAACATATAAACATATGTACCATGTGTAATCTAGGATCATTTTGATTTATATAAGGGGAATACGTGCCAAAGGTACTTTAACGATGAAACAAGTTTAAACCTTGCATGCTAATACTTGGTAGAGTATGCACGTACATTTAGTAATAAACTCATATTAGAGTACCCACTTTAATGTTCTACGGAGTAGGAACTGCAACTATGGATCACTCACTACCAAGGGCAGTTAGAAAGCTTACTTTTTGTAATACAAGTGTTGGATTCATGCCAATGGAATATGAAATCGAATAGCCTTACATACCTTGCTATACAATTCAAAACGTATGACTTAAGCTCGTTCTCTTCAAATTACTAATCTATAATAAAATAAGTTGTAAGACTAGTATTAGTAGCTAATCAATCAATTTGAACTACTTGATCTCACCCAAATAGTAACCAAACAGTACGCATGCAATTTATCTTGCCAATAATTTATTTCCTTCCCTTTCCCTAAATCACGTCTATATATTGTACAACCTTCATATCAGGTCCTCCACAAAACTCCCTGCAATATTTAAGTCCTTTAACATCTCCATAACCTCCCCGCACATCCAGTCACATCCCCTATACATAAAACAATCCTTAAACATTATAATGTAACAGAAGAAATATGAATCATGGTTTCTGATCACCAGCACTTGAAGTGTTGACATTACTTTTAAAGTGCTCAAACAAGCTCATAACTGAATTTAAAGAGCACTCCCCTCCATGGCTATCCCAACATGCACTAATCACCAGAACATCCTCCCCAATATTACACCATGTAAAAGGAACAATTTCCAACTCACTAACACATACCCAATGTCCTAATTAACTCAACCACAAGAGGGAGAAAATTATAGTAGCTTACCTTCCTGGACAGAACTACCACTTGCTAAGACTTGGATTCTTCAAGGTAAAGGTTGTCCTCCTCAACTTGTCTTAACTTATACCTTCCAATAGCTTGAAATCCCTAATATTAAAGAACCCTAATGGTATTTAATGGCTGTTGTATGAAGCTAAGAGAGAGAAGAGCGAAAGCTCTAGAAATCAGATTTTTTTGTCAAAGTAAAAATGGTTGGAAAAAGCTGATACCAATCCATTTTAAAGGGAACTACTTTGGCCAACTTTCTCACTCATTTTTGGGCTATAATTTGTTAAGTAGGTGATCCACATACTTGGACTTTTCACTTGGGGCTTTTTGAACTTAAGAACAATGGGCCTTGGTTGTCCATTTTCCCCTTATTCTTCTACTCAACTTGGGCCAGATTAACGCAAGTAGGTGGTAGTGTACTTGGCCCAATAACATGGTAAAAATAGTCATAGTACCGATGCACCTACTTGATCCTTTGGGCTGGTCAATAAGTCAAAATAGGTGATGCACCTACTTGTCACCTACTTGTCACCTACTAGCTTAGTTAAGTCAAGCAAGCACCTCAATATTTTATTCCATTTCTAGAACTTAATACCTTTAACTTAACTTAAAACTTATATACACTATGTCACTTTAAACTTTAGACTCAAATACCACCTTATGATCTCAAGTTTAACTACGTCCATCGATTTCAACTTAATCGGGTCACATTAAAATCTACGGACAGTTCACATTAACCTATTCTATTGTCACTAGTTGCATAGGAAACCGAGTCCATAACTATACCACAAGAAAAATTTTAAGCGTCATATAAATAGAACTGGTACACATAGAATACGGGGTGTTACATCCTCCCCCCCTCCCCCTTATGATCATTCGTCCTCGAATGATGGGTGAAGCTGATAGTTTGGTTAACCTTGGAATTTCATTTGGAGATTTGTGAGAGTTCCCATTATAAATAGGACTATCCAAAATCCATAGACTAACCTAAAACACGTATAGACAAGTATAGCATGAAGTCTCAATAGATATGGTTCATAAATACAGGGTGTTACACTGCTTGGTTTTAACATGATTAGTTTTTCACTGTAACAGTACAGCTTAAGCAGTTAACTATACTTCATCAATGACAAAATATGACATTTTCATGTGCATACGTGAAAAAGATAAGCTCACATCTACCTAAAAATAATATTGACGATGAAATATAGTCAAACTATAAAACCAAACACTAATTCATAATTGATTTTTTTATTATTAGAATATGTGCACAATACACATGAATAAAATAATATAAATATATGAACAATAGATCATATAATGCCTCAATAATTCTGAACGGAACATGGTGCACAAGAGTGAATTTATAGATGTCTCCCACTAGAGATCTGATAAATAATTGTAAGGTTTTGTAAAGGTCTTGTTTCTATCAGTACCTCTGCAAGAATCTCACTTCCTTGCTTTCAAAAGGCTTTTCAACTCTGTGTTGTAGCACTATACTTCTTAAAGATACTTGCACTAAGAATTGAAATTCATTAGCTAAACACTGCTCGTACATTCATAGAGATATAAGAAATTTAAGAATACCTAATCACAAAAAATATATACATTTATAGGAATATAAGAAATTTAAGAAAATCCAATTCATATATGAATAGTTGCAGATGCATCACTTGTTTGAACTTTTAAGAAACAAAATCAACTACATTATGGATTTTATCAAAAGTAAGTAAGTACAACATGGATATAAAAAAAAAGATCCATTTGCTTCATTCCTTCAACATATACTTATTTGGAAAATCTCAACTCATTCCTTCAACATATGCTTCTTTAGAATCTCTCAATCGAAAATAAGATCAGGCCTAGGTATGCCTAAATTCGTTTAAAATATAATGGTTATGAATCATATATTTTTCTTAGTTAAGATCATCTACAAAATCAATATATGAACAAGGATGACAGCACCAACAGTTAATAGGAGGCAATAATCCCCAGACGTTATAAAGATAGAAAATGAGGAGGCATCGGTTTACCTCTTTACAGATTCATTCACGTTCCTGAAAGTTGATTTTAGCAGCTCCATAGGCTGTCATGACATTCACTTCCTTCAAGTTAAGCACTTTCCTCCCTCACTATAACATACATTTTCAGAAGTATTAAATTTCAAAATTTAGTACTATATCATAAACCTGAATCTTGGAAGTCATCGATAATGTAGTAAAGCAAAGAAACATGTAGGACATATAACAAATCAAAGTCTTCCTTTAAAGCATATATGTTGAAATTTGTACGTCTTACAATTATTAGAGTAGGGAAAAAATAAAAATACAGATGTAGAATATTTTCAAAAACCTGAAGCATGTTAAACCTAGTTAAGAGTTAAACACATACATAAGGTATGACCCTCCATCCAGCTTAGACATTAGAATTTCACAACAAAAGACATGACGTGGCAATATATTTTGAAAGACATATAATATCTTTATTCATGAAAGTCCCATAGCTTCCGCCATTAGGAAATGTATGTCATCAATTGCTCCATCACAATTCTCAAAATAGATCAAATGTATGTTTTAATTGGCTTTCAGAAGTAACACAATGGTTTAACTTTGTCAAAAATTAGTTCGGAAGCAAGGATAAATTAGACACCTTCATATGTTGCTAGAGGAATATCAAACCTTGGTGGCTTAAATGATGAGACCAGTGAAATGGTTACATGGTTACAGAGGCATTTAATGTTCGGTCAAAATGACAGTTGATGACTTCAGTTGAGTACTTGTAAAGCTCTTGACTACTCAAATCAGATTGTGGGCATCTATGAACCTATAAAGTGTGCAGTGTAATTTATTTTCGTCCATGAAACATATTATGAAACTTGATGTGCAATACTCAAACATCAAAAGCATGGAAATTATAATCAATGATCAGCCTATCCTACCCTAACAATTAGTATTAGACCTTATTTGTTAATATTCAGAAGAACCGATGACAGGCTTACATTTAAAAATAGATACCGTTTACATTTTTTCTTCTACCATAGGAAGGTGTTATCAAGTAAACATTAAATCTCACATATCTCTGTAAATATCGGCACAAAACTTTGAGCCCTGCAAATATGAAAATAAGAGGCATGCCATAAAAAAATATTATAAAAATGTAAAGAGTGCAAGAAGACTTGTTTTAAGAAATCATTCTGTTGAGGCAACTTATGCTATACCAATAAAAGAAACCAATTGGCACAAGTCATGCAAACATGAATTCATAGATAGCTTTACTTCTCTTTTCATTCTTAAGTAGAGAAAACTTTTAACTATAAACTATTTGTCTGTCGTTCAGCTATTTACAAAGAAAACAATTTCTGAGAAAATCCAAGAAAAGCTAGGCAATTCAGTCTCTCACAAGACCAATTAGTTTACGTCTGAAACAGCAAGAACAAATTAAATAAAAAAAGTTAAATGAAAAGCAAAAATCGAACACATAAGAAAAACAAAAGGAAAACATAAAATATAACATAAACTAAAGTTGGGCGGAAGGATGAACAACAAATCGTTGAGAAATTTGCAGCAACTATTAGGAGGGGAAGAAATGGAACACATCAGAAAATCAAGAACGGACATATGGATATTGCAGGATGTTAACTCAGATAAGAAGCTGAAGTAGCAAAGAAAAATGAGAACAAAGAACAACAGAAATATAACACATGACAAATTCGAAGCAGCTATTATATGGAGGGAACAAATGAAACACATGAGAAAATTAAAAACGAAAATATGAAATATTACAGAAGCCTAACACAGTGAAGAAGTACAAGTGATATTTTAGGATAATTATCAATTCATTTGAAAGTGTCGAATTATTTAAAACATACATCCATTTATAAAAAAGACATTCACAAAAAGAGTGAATTCACCAAATAACTTTTTCTAGAAGTTCAAAGCTTCATAACAGAGGAATATGAACTTACATATTCTTGATCCAACTAAGAAGCTTCAACTCCTGTTCACTACACCCATAAAAGAAATAGTGTCAAATTAAATCAAATCACATAAACCGTTAAAATCAGTAAGTATATAAATTTGAAAAAGTAACTATTGATAGCGTACCAAAAATTTATAATCAGATCCAACAGATCTAATTCTTATCCGATGTAGAAAATTAGAATTTTTGCCAAGAAACAACAACTAACACTAATGCAGTACTAAAACAAGAGATAAAACCCACCATACCAGCTCCAGGTCGCAACAAACTGTCCTTTGACGATGTAGTTAACCAAATATATTCACATTTGTTGAACTCTTTTGTGCTTCCACTTAAAAAAGTATTTACTTATATCAAAAGACAAAAATAAATTGTTTTAATTATATAATGGAGATCCATTAGAATGAATGAACATATAATTTTAGCCTTGAAAATTGAAACTCTACTTAATTATCAAACTCGGTAGAAAGAATCAATCGGTGTCCTTTTTTATGAGTAGCAAAAATCAATAATTTGAAAATTTTCACCCATTACGGCAAAACTACTTCTGACTCAGGTTTTCTATTTAGATCATTTCAATTTCTAATTAAATTGGAGCTTTTCTACGGTGAAGTTGTGAAAATTATCCCTCTATTGGATATTATTAGTCTTCTCATGTAAAATCATTACAACGGACCTTCAGTTGTTCACTCCTTGCATATTAAACAAAAGGATATGACTTTTCTTCTCGTTAAAGTAAGTTGGTCGTAATTCTTAGAAAATTATTAAATAGGTACAATTAATTAATTTTCACTGCAAAATTTTCATTAATTTCAAATCAAAGAACGATTTTCATTTCATAATTCTAAGAAACCACACTAAGATGAAGCAAGCATCAAATGTAAGTTGATGTAAATATCGACTAAGCTAAACTAATCTCATGTGGTTAAAGCAAAAGTTGCCTCAACGGAATAGGAAATGACATAATAACTTACATGTAAATGTGAAACATTGAGCTAACATATGATCGATCCCTGCTATCAGTGACAAAAAAAATTTGCTATCTACTGAGCGTTGTGGAACACTGAGGTAACATATAACCAGGGGCGGATCTACGTGCAATCTAGGGGTTCATCCGAACCCCCTTCGTCGAAATATTACACTATATACGTAACGTCAAATTCTGGTTTTATGAGTATATTAATCAAAATGAACCCCCTCAATACTAAAGAGAAGAATGACAGAATGGATAAGGGGTTCAAGTTCTGCCGAGAATGGCCGAGTTTGATTCTCACTAGGAGCATAGTTTTTCACCTTTTTTTTGCTTTAAAAAGGCTAGAAGCTTTGGGCCCAGATTCACAAACAAATGAAAAGGCCTCATTGGTTCAATGTGAAGCTTTATTCCTTTTTATTTTTCATTATTTTCTTTTTTTCAATTTGTCTTTGTTTAAATTTATTAGCCACATTCTTTGTAATTTTTCTTTTATTCTTTTTTATTTATATTTTTCATTTTGTTTCTACATAGTTCTCTTTCTATGTACTAAGTTGAAGAAATGATGAATTTTACTTAAATTTTAAATTGAGTTTAAAAAATATTTATATAAAATAAAGTAAAATTAAATTTAATCGAACGAAGAAATATAAAAATTGTGAATATTTTTTTAACAAAATCTATTTAATTAAATTTTATTTCTTTAATTTCATTGTATTTTTTTCAATTTTATTCTAAGGAGAGGAAAATTAAACCAATCTTATTTGATTTATTGACCATTTGTTTTTTTACAAATGACTAGCCTAGTAAATTGAATTAAATGAACTAAAAATATATTATGCCATTTATTTATTTTCTGAATATGTCAATTTTTACCCATTTTAAAAGATCTTGGTGATTTTTATAGTAATATATGATTGAGAGGCCACTACTTTAGTATTTTTTTTTAATAAAAAAAATCAAAATAAAATAAAACACTGCAAAACTTAAAGAAAAAAAAGCACAAGAATTTGAAAAAAAAACTCGATGGAGCAGGAAAAAAAGTAAGAAGAACCTAAACGCAATATAACAAGACAAGTTAAATTTAGCGAGTTAAAATTAGTATTTTCTTTCCCATCTCACGTGTTTATTACTTTATACTTCGAACCCCCTTCGAATTCATCCAGGCTCCGCCACTGCATATAACCGATCTCTGTTATTGATGACACGTAATTTCGCTACCTGCTGAGTGTTGGGTACAAAAGTAATCTATGAGTAGCATGAACATCATATATGACACTGTAAAGCTGTAAGCATGTGAAATGAGATGGTTATATAGTTACTAACGTAAGCTATAAAAAACGGTACACGTCAATACAGTAAGGTCATTTGCTTCCAATTTTAGTACCACAACTACAATTCTTTAGCAAAGAATTTAAAATTAGCTTAAACGATCAATCAAAACTTAATCCAACTAAATATTTTAGCTGGCCAATCTTCCACATATAGTTACAGATATACTTACATATTTATCACACCAATAATGAGATAAAATGCTCAAAAGAAACTCCTTACTATAATTCATTACATGTAGGGGTGCGCATCGGTCAGTTCAGTTCGGTTTTATGTGTTATTGGTTCGGTTTATCAGTTTTTGGTTTGTAAATACATCAAATCGATAACCAAATCAATAACATATTTCTTATCGATTTTTGGTTAATCGATTTATGATACTTAACGGTTCGATTTTCGGTTTAACCAATAAGAAAATACTCATATATATTATATACACGATAAGAAAAATTTTCATATAAACCATATGATTTTTCCAACATTTGGCATGAAAGTAATAATCATAAAAGTAACAATCATTTTTCTTGTTCAGTTTTAGACACTAGACACATTCAAAAGAAAAAGTGTGAAAGTAACAATTGTTTAACCACTAACAAAAAGTGTGAAAGTAACAATCGTTTAACCATTAACAATAAGACTAGTAAATTTAGTATAGTCTTATTGGGTTATCGGTTTAACCATTAACAAAATCATAAAACCGGAAACCGAACCAATAATCCAATAAAAAAATTTGCAAAAACCGTTCAAAAACCGTTAGCCCAATAATCCAATATCAATAAACCAATAGTGTTTTTTTCGGTTCGATTTATTGGTTAAATCAGTTTCTGCACACCCCTAATTACATGTTTTCTATCTCTCCCAACGAACATAAAATTTCAAGAATTTCAATAACATACAATTTCGAATGGTCTACCTCAAGATCATAAATAAGTGGAAGGGCAACCAAGAAATTGACAGGAGTACAGGACAAAAATGTATTACTGACCTTTGAAAACTTTTTATCATGGAGTATTTCTCTATTCATTCATTGTATTTTTTTCTAATACCATTGGATGAGTACATGCATGTCCAAAATAATTAACAAAGAGGCTAAGGCATACAAAACTTTACAGTAACCTTCAAAAGAGAAATTATGTTGAGCCCAACAACACCATATCTTGACTTTTTTTCTTGATTTGATCTCTTTCGAGTTGGCCATGGAGAATGAAGGAGAAAGTGAAAAAAGTCAAAACAATACCTGTTGGTCTTTTGGGCATTTTAATATTTATTTATTATTAATTTGTCTCACATAATTTTGTCATTGGCTTAATACCCATTCTACCACAATTACATGAAATAGAGGATGTGGGAGTTATGGCGTTTCACTGGTACAACGGTATGCATTTGTGCCTAATTATTTAGTGGTCAATTAATGACCATAGGTATTATGGACTTTGCTGCTTTTTGATAAACGTTGCAGTGAACGTTAGCATAGTCAAAGTGTAACACTTGGTGCATTTGTTATCCTCACCTTTATTTCATTCTTTTATTCCTCCATTATACCTTGTAACCTATGTAACTCCTAAGGCCATTTATCTTCACTATATACTACCCATTATCTTCCTATCAATTGGTAGGAAGACTTCCTCAACTATAATAGTGATAGTCTTCATTTGGTTTGGGAGATACAACACACAAGAAAATATAGAGTGAAAGAGTTAGTCAAATAAAAAGAGAGTTCTTATTAGTTGAAGGGAGGTGTTCTTTTTTGTGGAGCTTTGGACTCAACTCTTGTCCAGAGTTGTTGAGTTATACTTTGTGAAGGCTGTTGTATCCTGGAGGGGACAAGTCAAGAGGACTACTGCTGGACCGGTGAAAACATTTGCTGCAATGGGCTTGAATCTCCTTAAAAAGAGCGAGATATCCGCGCCTCAGCCTGAAGAGATTTATTTTCTTCATATTTATTTTCAATTGTAATCTTGTATTTTTGTTATCTTGTAAGTTTTCACTAACAATACCCATTACAGTCCTCATGCTTGAAAAAAAGTGATGTAGAATTGAAAAAAATTCTGTAAAGAAAATCAAAAGTGATGAAGATAGAATCAAAGAAATTTTAAAAATCATACCGTGAAGAACAGAGAAAATGGAGAGCTGGAAATAGAAGTAACAATGTCTCAAAGGGTGTAACCTTAAAAGAGGAAAAACAAAGGGCTGTATTTTGAGAGCAATTTTACCAATTTTTGTTAATTTTTCATAGTACACCAGTCCTATGACAATTGATAGTGAGATTATAGCATTGACTGTAGGATCGAAGATATGAGATAAAGATATAGGAGGAGAAATTGAGAAGATGAATTAGGATTTCAGGTAAAGAAGATTCATTGAGACACGTGTCTTCATAAATACACTACACGTTTCTAAAAGGGCAGGTTTGTATATCCTCCCGTGCAACTTTTTCAACTCTTGGTACAATTGATACATTTTGTGTTTGTCCATCAAGTCCAGGGCAGGTTTGTATATCCTCCCGTGCAACTTTTTCTACTCTTGGTACAATTGATACTGTTGTATTCGTCCATCAACTCCCATTTCTATATAGGAGTAATATCTTGATTTTTGGAATGTTGGGGATCACATATTGCTTTATTGATTGGTGAAAAATGGTTGCAATTTCGTGGGTTAGGAATCAGTGGCATAGGGTTGGAAATTATAGCATTTTTGGTTGTAAAGATAGAGGAAAAGAATCAATTTTTTTTGGATTAGTTGCTGCAACACGTGATGGTTCTGTTTGGGGTAGAATAATTGGTTGTTACGAAAATGATTAATCCTCAACAAAACAAAGATAATGCAATTTGAATTCTGGGTACTTCCGTTTTGTTAAGGTTACAGGGTGTGAATTATTTGTTTTAATTTTGGAATTTTCTAATAATTATTACTTTATAGTGGAAGTTTAATATATAGATATAGAAAATTAAGTTTTGGGTACATTATATTATATGAATATCCGTAGATTTATGATATTTGGAGGGATGGGGCTTAACTCTAGGCTTAAAATTTAACAAATATGTGTCTTGACATATCAGTTGACACAAAAATTAGGAGTTTGATTATAGATAGTATGAGTTTGGATCTAGGGTCTATGGACTCACTTGTTTGCAAATATTGCATATTTGATAGATTGGGAACATTCTGAAGTTTAACGAAAGGGAAAGGCAAAATCTTGAGGATTCGTGATACGTGTTCGGCATTGAAGACTTCCAGACTTCATTGAAGGACGTTTTTCTAATTAAAGATTAAAAATGGAATAGACCATGGGTAAGGGAAAAAGATAGGGGTCTCGTACCAATGGTGTGACGGGCGTTGGTACAAGTACTGGTGTTATAAAGGGAAAGTTTATTATTATAGAATGCAGATTGAAAGCCGAGAATGCCAAAGCATATGGGCATTAGCTGATATATTATTGACTTGATTTATTATGTGTGATTGTGTTCTTTATTGAACCTGTATACTTGTGATAGCTGAGGTGATTACATATCATATTGATATTTGATTGAGATGCATCATCATCCCTTTTCATTGATATCACATTGTGAACATGCATTGACATGAGATTGCGTATTAGCTGGGCACGTAGAGATCGTCCGTGCCGGGGATGGTGAGATATTAAGATTATAATTTGGGCACGTGGAGATCGTCCGTACAGAAATTATTTAATTTTATAATAGTGCGTTGAGATCATTCGCACAAACACGTGGAGATCGTCTGTGTCGGTATATGGACCTCGTGAGTCCCCCATGGGTCATGAACTCTCGATGTATTTTCGAGGAGTATCATGTATATACGGTTGAGAGAGTACTTGGCATCTGAGGCATATCATTTCATGGTGTCATATTGCATTGCATCTCATAACATCCTTCATTCTTGATGATTATGTGTTTTCTTGGTGGTTGGAAAGTACTTGATATTTGATTACCTCTATTTGATGAAACTTGACTGGTAAGTATAATATAGACTTGTATAAGTAAAGAACTGATTTCCTTATATGAACTCCCGTCACTCTTTCTTTGGTGTCGGTCTATGAGATATACTGGGTACATGTAGTTTCGTACTCAT